GAAGTACTCCGCATGCGTGGCACTATCTCCCGTGAACACCCGTGGGAAGTCATGCCTGATCTTTACTTCTACAGAGATCCTGAAGAGATTGAAAAGGAAGAGCAGGCTGCTGCTGAAAAGGCTGTGACCAAGGAGGAATTTCAGGGTGAATGGACTGCTCCTGCTCCTGAGTTCACTGCTGCTCAGCCTGAGGTTACAGACTGGTCTGAAGGCGTGCAGGTGCCCTCTGTACCCATTCAGCAGTTTCCTACTGAAGACTGGAGTGCTCAGCCTGCCACTGAAGACTGGTCTGCAGCCCCCACTGCTCAGGCTACTGAATGGGTAGGAACAACCACTGAGTGGTCCTAAGCTGTTCTTCCACAAATTCTTAACAGAACGGAAATAAGGTTGATGAAAAATAAACAGTTTCTAAAAAAAGAAAAAAACATTGTCAGGAGTCATGTTAGGTACTTGCTCATCAGGGCACTTCACAGCCAGGTCTCACTATCTCCTCTATGGGCCCTGCTCATTTCCTTCTTGCCAACGTCATTGTGCCACATAGAATGTCTTTCTTTCTCCCCTTGTCCTACCTAAATTCCACTAATAATTCCAGGTCACATGCTATAAGACACAAGAACAACAACAAAAATAAATTTTCTTGAATATTTCGGATGACATTGATCTCACACTTTCTTGGGCTCTTATATTCAGTCAGCCTCATAGAGTTTAGCATTTAATTACCTGTTTCATGGGTGTTGATGTAATCAACCTATTTGGTGGTATCCTCTCAGTCCATACCCTCATTTCTAAGGACTGTTCCACTCTTCTTTCAGGTTCCTGCACTTGGATAGTTTTCTTTTCTAATTTCTCTTCCAGGGACTCCAGCCCTGGTAAATTCCACAAACTGTTTTTTCTAGTTCTTATCTGGATGAGCTAAAATACAGGCATTATTTTGTATCTTGTTTAATTTTATTCATACCCTTTCCTGTACTGTCTGGCTTCCTTATTTTTTCTGTTTTCTGTCAGGCAGTTTCTGACATTTTGATCATTAATATTTACACTATTCACATCTATGTTTAATTTATATTAAATGACCCTTGTCATGCACACTTGAAGAAATGGGCTATTTGTCACATACTGCTAACCAAGGTTTTATTTTTCCTACAATTACTGACTTTTTTAAAAATCCTCACCTGAGGATATGTTTTTATTGATTTTAGAGAGAGAGGGAAGGAGAGAGAGAGAAACATTGATCCATTGCCTTCCATATTCACCCCTGCCAGAGATCGAACCCACAACCTAGGTATGTGCCCTGATTGGGAATCGAACCCACAAACTTTTGGTGTACAGGACGATGCTCCAACGAACTGAGCCATGTGGCCAGGGCCAATTACCAACTCCTGGTGGGACATTTATTTATAAGAGAAACTGGGCCTCTTTTAAAGCATTGAGATCTGAAGGTTTGCACTGAATTCTCTCCAAATTCACACTTCCTGGAGTAATCTGGAGTTTTCCATATTCTTTGGTAGTTCAGTTCTGCACAGGCAGAATTTGGGGACAAAAGAGATGGCTTTTCTTGTGCATCAGGCAAATAAGTATTTTCTTACTACATTTGCTCACAGAACAGATCCTTATCTCAGAATCCCTTAGCCATGTTATGAGATCCCTAGTGACTTAAGCTTTGATGGAGTGAGAAATTAATCAATTTCTGCCTCCAAGGTTTCTGTTAGTGCTACCAGACCATGGGCCTCACTGAAGCTTTGAATTGATATACAGCAATAACATGCAGGAAGACAGAGGCATTGTAGTGGGACTGCGGGAAATCTTACAGCGTGAAGAATGGTTTAAGAGTCCAGATTGTGGTGTTGGTATTGGTACATTTGCTTCTCCTTTCAGGAAAGGCTACTCTGAAAATTGGGAATTTGCTGGTAGGTGTCTTAGGTTGGGGATCCCTCAAAGCAGAACCCAAGATACCATAAACTTGAATGGGGGACTTACTGAATAGGAATGGGACATCTTTATTTTTGGTTCAAGAAGAAAAATGACAACATTATTGTATATCCAAAGAAAAGAAGACAATCACAAGGTCTATGTCCATAACACGTTTTTAGGGATCAAATTTGCTCAAGAAATGAAGGAAATTATTTAAATCAGTCATTGGTTTTACTCTCAAAATAGGAGCAAGCAGGAGAATAAAAGGGGAAAAAGGAAGACAACTGGCTAAGGTGGAAAAGGGAGAAGTTTCTTTAACATCATGATTGAGATCTTAGTGCATAATCTAGGCAGATATGAAATGGGAAAAGAGATCTCAGAGACCAGGTTAGACACATCTAAGAGTAGAAGGGAGACGCAGATCCATCTATCTGCTCCTTAATAAAACTGCTCTAAGATCAGAAAAGGTAACTGATCTCAAGGAAGAGATGTGCATAACCCTCCCAGAGTTCCTGGGTGTAGGATATGATTGAGGGATAGCTCTATAAACTGCAGCTAAATTCCCTAATCAGAACAATTGGGTAAGTCCCCCTCAAGGACTGAGACAGCCATGCATAATATTTGGACAGAGGAGGAGGCCTGAGAAGCCAGGATAAAATTCTCAAGGCATTGAGTCATGAATTGGCAGGTGGTACAGTGACCATAGATGGGGAAGCAGGAATTGCCTGTGTCTCGAGGGAACCTGCCAAAAAAATGTATGGAATTAGGATCCTCTCGAGGGAAGGCCCAGAGGAAATAAGACCTACTCCAAGGGAGCCAGCAACAGAAAACTAAACGAGGTCAGTCCTGAGTTGGCTAGTGATCTGATGAGGTCATGCCTCCTGAGTGGGATTGAACAGCTCAGGAAAGTGAAGATGGACAAATCTGTTTGAAAATTGTGCATTTTGGAAAGCTGTTTACTCCTTGACTCAGTATAGGGTACTCTGGGGGACCCCAGAAAGCAAACTCTGGAGGAGTACTTTCAAAAGACAAATGTCTGGGCCAGAAAAACAATATGAAAGCGAACAGAACGAAAGCACCAAGCCAAGCAAAAAGCAGTTTCATCCTCTCAATGGGGAAGGCTAGCGGTCAGACAGATCTGTTTGAAAATTGTGCATTTTGGAAAGCTATTTACTCCTTGACTCAGTATAGGGTACTCTGGGGAACCCCAGAAAACAAGCTCTAGAGGAGTACCTTCAAAAGACAAATGTCTGGGCCAGAAAACCATATGAAAGTGAACAGAATGAAAACACTAAGCCAAGCAAGCAGTTTCATCCTCTCAATGGGGAAGGCTAGCGGTCTCTTTAAGAAGCAGGTAAAACTGCTGACATTTCAGCTGAGGCTATTGAGGGGAACAGGGGATGTGGAACACTGGAGGGCCATCACACCCGTGCAGAAAGCAGATGCCGCAGAAGGCGATATTAATGGCCTAGAACTCACAAAAGCAGAAGAAAGGAGGAGCTCCAGGAATATTCAAAATTTAACATATTTTAATTAGTTTAACATATTTCTTGATATCTTATTTATTTTGAGGAGATTCGTGCTTAATGTAGTGGAGTGACATGCAGACCTAGATTCTAATACTAGTTTTGCCATGTAGTTATTTCTGTGCTTTTAAATTAATACTGAAATTCTCTGGGACTGTTATTTTTATAATGACGGAACTATCATCGACCTCACAGGGTTGTTGTGAGAATTGTTATTATTATTTTTTGTTGTGGTGGTTGTTGTTAATCCTCACTGAGGATATTTTCCCATTGGTTTTTACAGAGAGTGGAAGGGGGAGGGAGAGAGAGAAACATCCATGTGAGAAAGACACATTGATTGGTTGCCTCCTGCATGCACCCCGATCAGGGCCGGAGAGCCTGCAACCAAGATATGTGCCCTTGATCGGAATCGAACCCAGGGCCCTTCAGTCTGTGGGCTTACGCTCTATCCACTGAGCCAAACCAGGTAGGGCATGAGAATTAAATGAGATAACATATATAAAGCACCCACACTTTTTGGAACATTATGGCTGCTCTATAAATGATAGTTCTCTTTCCCCCTTAGACCATTGCTCTGCTACAAGACAAAAAACAAAGCATTTCATACTCATCCAACAGTGAAATCCTTGTTTGGAAAGCTTTGCTCTTCTTGATTTCAAATATATTCATTCATTCATTCATTCATTCATTCATTCAATATTGTCTTAAATGTAACCCAGTTGCCATTTATCATTTATTTTGTCATTGCTCTTAGTCCTGATAACCATTTTGCCATAAAGAGAAGTCGATTAATATAATGTGTCAAGTTCTGCTTGATAAAAGTAGAGTACTGTGTAAGGTATTGTGGGGCCAGGGAAAGGGTGGAAATAGATATTAGAAACACCCTTTGTCCAGTATGAGCTTATAGTTTAATCAAGAAACCAAGATATATATACTAAAAAGAAGTAACAAATGAACATATAGACAAATTGACATAAAAATGCATACCAGATAAGGTAGAAAGTAATGACCTATTTATATTGAGGGTCAGCAAAATGTACATATCGAAGAAAGCTCATTGCTATATTTCTACTAAGAATGTGGCTGAAGATGTTGATCGCATTAGCTTCCCTTTTATAAAAATCTAAAGGAGAAATACTTGTCTCATTTTTTTTCCCAGGAATAGTTGTGGTTCTTTGAAGTCACTTAAAATTATTTTTATGGGCTCAGGAAATCTGGTAACACCATGATTTGCAAATGCTGGTCTGCAGACTGTTGTAAGTTGATAAGAAATATCAAAAGAAATTTGTGTGTGTGTGTTGTTAGGGATTTTTGTATGTCGTCTTTATATATTGCACACACAATATTCCATCTGTCACAGTAATCAACTTTAGAGTGTGTTATCTCCCAATTGGTGCTGTACTTGAATCTTCATTGGGCTACTTCAGCATTCTTTTATGCTAGTTGCTTCTGTGTAATGTGGAAGATGTGAAGATCAGTAAATCCTAAGTGCGTGACATTATTATTGTGGTATTTTTTCCATAAAATAAATTCCTAGCTGAGAACTAAAGTTGTGTGTGAATACTATAATGATGAGTAAGGTATTCTGTAAAACCATGGATGATGGCGTTGCTGGCATAAACATTGAGAGCAAAGTAGGTAAACCCACAATAAATGTCTATTACAATGGACACATTGATGCCACCATGAAGATGGAAATAGACCAGTGAAACCAGCCTGCCTCAGCTAACTGGCTGGTTCCTCTAGGGACTGGTGCCACTGGATGTAATATGTTTCCCTCTTGCTCCTATCTTTGTCTTTTGACAGTTTGAATATGATGTATTTAGATGTGGATCTCTTTGCATTTATTCAACTTGGACTTCATTGATCTTTACTTTCTCCATCACTCTCTGTCCAGGTAAAATGGATAATCAGAGGTACTACTTAAAGTTTTGCCCAGGGAATGATTCCTTATTATTTTAAAGACATTTCA